GGCTGTCCTGGAACTCACTCTGGAGACCAGGCTGGCCTCGAACTCACAGAGATCCACCTGCCCCTGCCTCCTGAGTGCTGGGATTAAAGGCGTGTGCCACCAATGCCTGGTCTCTTTTTATTTTTTAATTATTGATTTGTACATTATGTGCATTGGTATTTTGCCTGCTTATAAGTGTGTAAAAGGGTGTTAGATCCCCTGGAACAGGAGTTATGGACAGTTGTGAGCTACCTTGTGTGTACTGGGTCCTCTGGAAGAATAGTCAGTGCTTTTAACCACTGAGCTATGTCTCCAGCCCCAGGAGTCACACTCCTTACACTCAGCAGTTAGAAGCAGAGACAGGAGGGTCTCTGTGAGTTCAAAGTCAGACTGGTCAATATAGCAAGTTCCAGGCCAGCCATGGCTGCATAGAGAGACACTGTTCCAAAAATTAAAATAAATTTTTTTTTTAAATTCAAAGCTGGGCAACAATGGTGGTACATGCCCTCAGTACCAGAACTTGGGAGCAGAGGTAGGCAAATCTTTGTGAATTTTAGGCCAGCCTGGTCTACAGAGTGAGTTCCAGGACAGCCAGGGTTGTTACACAGAGAAACCCTGTCTCCATAAAATAAGACAAAAAACCCAAATCCAAAATGAAACAGTCACAGATGGAAAGGCTTGAGGCACAGGCCTGACTGACACACCTTGAGCGTTTGGCAAATGCCTCTTTTTCTTGGTACCAGTGGATCCCCTGGATGTGAATGTCTGGGTGGCAGTGTGGCTCTGCCCAGCTTGCCAAAGGCCAGACGCCCACCAACAGCCCAGGGAAGGGGTTCCCCTTGCAAGGGAGAGGAAGGCTTGGGGGGGGGGCCTGGCCGGGAACTGGGAGGCAGTGCTCTTCAGGGCAGAAGGGACATTAACTCTGAGGACACCTGGGGCAGGAGTCTGCAGTTTCTGTCCTTAGGTCCCCTTGCTGAGGACAGGGGGACATTGGATGCTGAGGGCAGGTGGCTTAGAGAACCCAGTGAGAGTTCGACCTTGAATCTAAGGATTCTGGGAAAAGGATGTGGCCCTGGGAGGAGGACATGCTGCCAGTTATCTCTCTGCTCTGAGGTCATAGAGGGGCCCAGCCTCATTTCTATATGCAAATTCCATTGGCAGCTTTATTTCTCCATGCAAATTCCTCTGCCTGGATGGGGCAGACTTTGGCCAGCAGTTCCCCACACTCCCAGCACCAGTTGGGAAAATTTTCTTAGCTTTGTTCCCCAGAACTGCGCCCGAGAGAGACCTCTTCATTTCACTTAAGACCAAGTTTATTGGGTGCCCCATGCCCAGGGTCGCACAGCCATGCCACACAAGAGGGTACATGTCCACAGGACATTCTATTTGTGAACTCACTGTCACTTATTCATTTTCCTGACTGGATATTCCAATCATTTCAAGATTTGGAGTTCTTGGCTATTACACTTTGTGCTGATAACACATTCTTGTGTGTGTTGCATGAGGCCCTTCCTGTGGCACTGGTACCCAGGTATCACAGGGTTGGTGTCCAGCATTAGCATTCAAGGATACCTGGTATTCTGAGTTGATACAGTTTCTGCTCCCAGCAGCATCAGCTCCAGGCAGTGCTGTTTAAATCCCTGGGGCTGGTGTGGCAGGGCTCTGGGTGAGAGGCCAGGGCTGTAGTTTACAGAGTGAGAAAAGCCGACCAAAAGAAACCACCCAGCCCCCTACTCCTGTTTATATCAAGCTTAGAAGCCACCTAACTGCTGTAGCTGTGCGGGCAGGGGGGAGGGGGGAGGAGCAGGGGAGGGGTTCTGGGACACTGCCTCCTCCGTCCCTCTGTCCCTCCTCCCCCAGTTTCTTCCCTCCCTTCCTCCACCCTTCCCTCTCCACTTCCTTCCGGCCAGGTCTCCTCAGGAACCCGTGGAGGCCATACCCTCTACCAAAGGAGTCAGTTCCCCTGTCACAGGCCCCAGGGACAAATGGCTGGCTGTGGTGCCTATGTGGTGCCTATTAGCACACAGACTGCAGGCTGGACCCCAGGCTTCCTCAGGATTTTTTTTTTTTTTTTGGTTTTTTGAGGCAGGCTTTCTCTGTGGCTTTGGAGGCTGTCCTGGAACTCGCTCTTGTAGACCAGGCTCTGCCTCCGAGTGCTGGGATTAAAGGCGTGCACCACCAATGCCCGGCTACTCAGGCTCCTTATAACCCTGCTTTTCATCTTTTATCTTCCTTCCCCGGTCCCCTCTCTCTGCCGACACTGTCCACTCTGGGGCCATCGTCAGTCTACCGGGACTCTTCAGACGCCCCTGCCTGTTCTCTTGCTCACACCTACGGTAAAAACCTTCCACTTTACCCTATCTTGGCTCGGACCTGTCGTCAGTTTTATACACTTCCTACTTCTTTTCTCCATTGTTGGGTGTGGGGTTTGTTATTATTGTTTGTTTGTTTGTTTGTTTGTTTGTTTGTTTGAGACAGGCTCTCACCAGGTAGCCCTAGCTGACCTGGAACTCACAGACACCTGGACCTCTGAAATTAAAGGCACATACCACCACCTCCGATCCTGTTGTTGGATTTTGAGAGAAGTTCTCACTACTATAGCCCAGGTGAGTTTTGAACATTTGACCCTGTATTAACCTCTTAAATATGGGATTGTAGGAGTATGCCACTTGGACTGTTCTATTCTATACACAAGTTAGCAAGTTATATTATTACTTGTGCACTTTTAGGTTTATTTTTAGATTTACATGTGTAAATATTTGCCTGCATCTATATCTGTACACCACACGAATGCCTTACATTCATGAAGGTCAGAAGAGGGTGTCAGGTCCCCTGGAACCTGAGTTACAGAGGGTTGTGAACCACCATGTAGGTGCTGGGAATTGAACCTGGGTCTTCTGGAAGAGCAGCCAGTGTTGTAAACCCCTGAGCCATCTCTCTAGTTCCCCATGCAACTTTCTTCATGTTACATCTTTTTATTTTTCAGTACTGGGGCTGGAATCCAGCTCCTCACACACACTACAAAGTGTTCTACCCCGAGTCACACATGGTCTCCTATATATTAAAAAAAAAATTCACAAAATAGTCTCCATCTCTCCTCCTCCCCCCCCCACCTCTGCCATCTCTCTTCACAGAGTCCCCTTTGGCAGGCTGGCTTGGGCAGTGTGTAGGACCTGCCCTGGGAAGGACCTCAGCCTGGTGTAGGCTCAGCTCTGCCTTCATTGAAAAATCTTTTCATTTTTGAGACAGACTCTCTTGTAACTTGGGCCAGTCTTGAATTTACCATGTACCAGAGGTTGACCTTGAACTCCTGGTCCTTCTGTCTCTACCTCTGGCATGCTGGGATTGTGGGTGTGCACACCCTAACGTTCTTTGTACTCACTTTGCATTGTGTTCCAGACATACTCCCTGTGGCTGGCCCTGCTCCTCAGACCCCCATCTCTGTCTCTAGGGCTGTAGACCAAGACTTGGTCTCAAAGGAGGAGCACTGGACTCTGATAGGGGCCCACTGCAGCTCTTCTGTCAGCACTGAAGAGCTGGCCTGTCTGCAGTAGGATGGCTGAGCTGCAGGAAAATCCTGGCCTTGTCTCTCTGTTGACTTCCTTTTTTATGTAATAAAGCATGAACCAGAAAGTTTATCATTGTAACCATTTTCTGGTTTTTGTATTACAGTTGTTTTGATATAGGGCTTCTCTATGTAGTCCTGGCTGGCCTGGAACTCACTCTGTAGACCAAGCTGGGCATGAATGCAAACATCTGCCTGCCTCTGCCTTCTGAGTGCTGGGATAAAGGCATGCACCTTAAATACAGCCAAGGCTAGTGTGTGTTTAAAGCACATAAAAAACTTTATGTGTATAAGTGTTTTGCTTACATGTAAGTATGTGTGCATATACGTGGTGTCAGTGAGTTCAGAAGAGGGCATTAGATACCTTGAATTGCAATTATGGATGGTGTATAAGTCACCATGTGGGTACTGGGAACTAAACCCAAGTCCTCTGCAAGAGCAGCCAGTGCTCTTAGTCTGGAGCCATCTCTCCAGTCCCCAGAGCTAGGTGTTTTTTGGTTTTGTTTTTTATATTTTGTTTTTATTTGTTTGTTTTGTTTTGTTTTTAATTTTTAAGGCAGGATAAAATGACAGGAAAGGGCCAGTTATGGTCGGGCAGGACTTTGTCTCAAAATAATCCAAACCAAATGGCAACATACCACTACTGAGGAACTGGGAATTAACCGATGGCTGCGGGGTAGGAGGAGTCATTTTTCTGGGGGTGGTGCTGGGAGAATGTCCTTGAACAAAAAGACGCACTTAATTGAACTTGGAGCGGGAGGGGCACAAGTTGGTGGGGTCTGGGGGGACTGGAAGGGGAGACATGGGCATATGAATATGATCGAGATACATTGTGTCTATGTATGAAACTGTCAAAGAATTAAATATAAATATTAAAAACAAGAACAAACTGAGAAATCCATGGTGACCTCACTCTCCGTAGAAGTGTCTGGACACACGGCTTCCACCATCAGGGTTGTCTCCAATGAAACAATGAGGTATCCCCTCAACGGCCTGCTTTTCTATCTCCAGTGATCTTCAGACATGACCACGGGAGGCTGTGGAGGTGACACCCCCCCACACACACACACAGGGTTTCCCATTAGACTTTTCTCTCAGTTTCATGCACTGACCAGACTGAAGCTGTTTTCTGAGCACTGGTTTCGTTCTGGGATTCAGGTATAATAAGGAAGTTGTCAACTGAAACTGCCCTTGTTTTCCCTCTCTCTCCTGGGTAGTTAAACCAAGCTTCCTATCTCTGGCACAGCCCAAAGGAGCAGGAAGCAGCCTGGGCGGGCAGCAACAGGTGGAGCCTTTGGGCCAGCCCTGCCCTCTGGTTGGCTACCTGTGAGCTCAGCTCCTGGGAAACAATGATATATATAGCCCAGACACTCTGAGCCCCTGTGAATATCGCCAGCCTCAACAGCAGCTTCGCTTTGGACCTGACCCTCAAAGGACTTCTGCTTACCGGGGGGCCATGCCCTGCTCCAGGAATCCCAGCCCAGGGATGTCCCCGGACAGCGGCGACTTGAGTGGTCTGAGGTAGGGTGAATCCTCTCCTTGTGAACCGGGGCAATGGGTGGGTATTTCAGGGTGCCGAAAGGAGCCCGAGTCCAGGCTTGGCTCTGCTTCTAACTCACTGACCCTCCTAGGATCTTCTTTCTTATTTTTAAAAAGATGGAACAGGGGCCAGCAGGATGGCTCAGCAGGTACAGGCACTTGCTGCCTGACCTCCAAGCCTGACAAGCTGAGTTCAGTCCCTGGGACCACATAAAGGAGGAAAGAAAGGATGACTCTTCTTACTTCTACATGTGTGTCGTGGTGCACACCCCCCACACATACCTCACACCCCACATACACACACATTTTACCCCTGCACACCACACACACACACACACTAGCACATACATACATATGTATATACACATGAGTACATACATACACATGTAAGGAGAGGACCCAGGTCAGTCTGGAGACTTATCACAGCGGTATGTGGCTGCTTGGGGGTCACCGTAGACCTCACTGTGTTCAGAAAGGCACTGTAGGCTGATCCCTCTGGGACTGCAGAGGTCGAGGCCCTGGCAGGAAGGAACTTCTGCCCACCTGCATCTATCCCTGGCACCCACAATGCTTAAGTGCACAAGGACCAGCTGGGGGCATCAAAGGAGTGTGCTCAGGTGTGAGAAACCCATGAACCACCAACAGATCTGGAGTGATTGGGGCCGCAGGCTGGAATAGTGAAGGGTTTGGTGGCTTTCTTTCAATTATGTAAAGGAAGGCCACCACAGACTTGGGTTGAGCCCAAGGTGGGTATCCCTTCTGACCTGGCCTCTGTGCGGGAAGGGGACCTGCCAGGATGGGTCTGGAGGATTCCCACACTACAGGCAGTGGGCTTGGCACTTTGTGGGGCCTGTGCACTGTAGAGATGCAAGAAAGACCCCCCTTAAAAATGGCGACCTCAAACTGTCACCTCTTAACAAGTGAGACCAGGTGTGGCACAGGACAGGCCCAGTGTCTTGGGAAAACAAGGCCACCATGTCTCAGTTCCAGGCATGTCAGTGGTGGCTCAGGGGTCTCCGAGGAGCCCATCAGTGCCCAGCGTGTGGAAGGCAAGAGCTGTGAAAGGGAGGTCTGAAACGATGGATTTGCATTTAGCTTCTGACTTTCCCTTGGAAGGCTCCAGAGCCTGACTGAAGCTGTGGGTGGCTGGGCCCATGAGAGTCAGCATGAGCTCAGCATAGCCATTGGCCATGGGGCTGTGAGGCCCACTCTGGGTTCCTAATCTCATGTCTGGGGGTGCATACGTCCATTGAGCACGTGTGCATGTTTAGAAGATGTTGCTTGGTGTAGGAGTGAGAAGACAGGATTTGTAATGACAGGGAGAAGGGTATTCAGGCCCAGCTCTCTGCTCCCAGCGCTGGGACTTTGACCATGTGTCCCTATGTCAGACAGTCTGATTCACGGGGCACTGTCAGAGTCAATGAGATCACAGGGGTGAAAGGGCTCACGGCAAGTTTGTGTACAATTACTGATGTGTTCCATAAACACCCAGGGCCTGCCTGGCCAGGGGTGGGAACAACAGGGAAGCCACTGGCCAGGCATCCCTTGGATTTTAGAGATTAGGCCAGCAGCAATCTCAGCCATGAGATTTTAGTCTCTTATACTTGAAACAGAGACAGTATCGGACATTCTGATTTAGGGCAGGCTGACAGTGTGCAAGATGAGCCCTTGAAGGCCTCCCATGGTGTTTGTGAGGTGATGTGTGAGTGCCTACAGGGGTGACTGAGGGGGTGCTTTGTGGCATGAGAGTAACAGGCCAGGTCAGTGTAATGCTGAGGTCAGAGTTCAGTCTTAAAAAATATGCCACACACAGCCTCATGCTGGGGGAAACCATGCCAGCTTGGTGTGACTTCTCTGGTGTTTTATGGCTGTGAAATGAGTCAGTGGAATCATTTTTCTATCGTTGAGATCTGTGCATGTCAGGCTAGAGTGGACTTTGTTCTGAATGAAGTCTACTCTCAGTTATGCAATAAATGTGTTTACACCAATGGTTGGGTTTCCATGCAATGTGGCTGGGTTGCTACCGGCTCCTGGCCTGGGCCAGGGTATGATTCCCCTACGATCAGGCCAGACATGGGCACAAAACAAAGAAAAGGGGAAGTTGAGTCATTCTTCCATGATGACTCCTAGGTGGGCAAAATTTCACACTGAGAACACTTAGAAAGACCAGTGGCTATGTAACATGGGGGAGGTGGACCACTGTCTTCTCAGGAAAACAGACTATCCACAAAGATGTTCTCTCTAGGGTGACAGGCTCACCCACTCTGGTGAGCTGTGCTCTCAGTCCCTGACCTCGATCTAGCTAGAACAGTGTATCTAGAACATTCCAAAAAAGAAGGAGCAGGCAGAGGGGTCAGGGGAGAGTAGAGATGCTTTGAGTTGGTTGAGGCTACCTGGAAAGAGTTGCCAGGAGGTGGTCATGGGCTCAAAGGCCAGTGCACCTTGGAAAGGAGGCTGTCAAGGAAAAAGAGGTCAGTGGGCTTGAGGTAAGGAGGACTTGGGGACCCTGGAGTTGTCCTTCACTGGGGAACTCTGGAAACATCGTGGCACTGTGTGGGTGTGGTGGAGGCAGAGAGAAGAGTCTGAACTCATCTCCACCACTGGGGAAAACTGTTTCCATAGCAACTGGCCCTTTCTAAAGATGGCTGCTTTCATCTGGGTGGGGATGCTCCCACTTGCTATGGGATGGACCCCTGGGCCATGCCACCTCGGGAAAGAAGAGGGGCTTGAGCTGAAAATCGAGTCCTTTGATTGACTGCCGACCAGTTGTCCTGGCTAACAGAAGCCCTGACTGTTTGATCAATATTTCTGCCTCAGCTTCCTTCGATCTAATTAATATAATCAGGTAGTCCGGTGGTCTAAATTGGCCTTATCTTAAGCCTGCATGCCTTCTGAGCCTCAGCTTTATCCGTTTAATCACCACACCAATCAGTTTTAGATGTACGTTACATCTTGCTCATGATTGTATCCTCAGCACCAAGTGGGATTCCAGGGACATCCAGGTGGTAAAAGGCAAAAGAAGCAAAAGGCCTCCTGACTAGTTAGTTGTGTTAGAGTCACAAACCCAAAATCTTCTGGTAAGAGAGGGGACCACAGCAGGGCTGTGTTCCTCTGGGCCACTCTGGTGGTGTCAAGCCAGCCGGAGAATCTGATACCATTTCCTTCTCTGGAAAACAGGGGGTGGGGGTGGGGTAGCAACTCCCTTCCTGTGGGGTGTGCAGGACTTTAAACAAGACAAGCCTTGGAAAGCATCACCAGGAGAGGGTGATGTCATAGGCGCATGAGTGCAGGTGGGCATGGGTCAGTCTTTGGCTGAGATCTCCTGAGGGAGCTGTTTGTTTTGGTTGTAGCCCTGTGGCGCCCCCAAGGGGCCTGAGGAAGCCTCCTGCAGATAAGAGAGCCCAGTCCTTGGACCGGCAGGTTCCCAAGAAAAACTCTGAGTCCTTGAACTCCAAGTACCCCTCCGGGCCCACCCACAAGAAGGTGCTTCGCCGGACATCCAGTGATGTGGCCAGAGGTTCTGGGAACCCATCTCACTTTGCAGAGGTCCAGGAAGCTGTGGTCACAGCCCTCCCTCTGGGAGAGGGGAGCGAATTTCTCTCCTGTGAGCATGGGCCCCCAGAAGACACTAAGAAAGAGAAGCCCCCGAAGCAAACCCAGCAGAGCTGGGCCAGTATGTTGCTAAATATCTTTTTACCAAGGACTGGTCTAGAGGAGTCCAGAGAAAAGGCCAGCAGGAAGTCAAAGGGGAAAGGGCAGACCAGCAAGTCCCCAGAGGCAGGGGAGGAGCCTGGCCTCAGGAAGAAATCCCAGGAGAAGAGGACCAGCCACAAGCATGGTCACAGGAAGCCTGCTGCTGAGGAGGCCACAGGGCCCCAGAGCTCAGAGGCAGAAGGCCAAGAAGACATACTGCCCAGCTTGGCTGCCTCACAGTCCCAGGGAGCGGACCTGGGGCTGATCTGCAGGGGTGAGCAGACTAGGGTAACCCCATTGTCCCACCCCAAGGACCAGGGAGCCCTAAGTTTGTCTACTGTATGTCCTCAACTGAGACGAGGTGTGGACAGTGGGGGACATTTCTATGAGGTTGGACAGCCGAGCACTTGAGATCAACCCATGAGGGGGCCACCATTCCACATGCTGTGTGACCTAGGGATGGTGACTCCCCGTTTCTGGGCCTTAATGTGCCCCCTGCCCCATCTACAAAAATAGGTAAAATAGATGCTGTCTCATGGGTCAACACAGCTCACGCAAAAGCAAGTGTTTGGCACGGGCACATACTAGCTGATATAAGTGCAAAGAGATGTGGGGAGGAGTGGAAGCAGCCCCCCCCCCACACACACACACACACACACTGGCCGATGGTGCCTGCCAGGTGCTCTGCCCAGACCCTGCCCTGTCAAGAACAAATCTGCTGTGATGGGTTCTGCAATCGCTGCCTCTGGAGTCTTTGATTCCTCCGTGGTAAAAGGAGAGAGCAGGCATCCCTGTAGCTGGGGGTGTGAAGTGAAGTCCCCTCCACTCACAGAGGCCACAGCTGTGTGCCAAGGCACACTGTAGCCATACTGACTCTGACAGAAGGGGGCTCCAGAGAGAGCTGGTGGGAGGGGAGCCTGGCCTGAGACACCCCCCTTTTCACCGGGAAATCCTGGCCAGTTTCTGATTTGGGGTGAGGCTTGGGGGCGGTTGCTGCCTGGCCTGTCACTCTGTGGAATCCAAGATACCTGTGGGTTAACAAGGTCAGAGGAATGTCACTAACCCAGGCTACTTCTCATGTGACTTCCAGGGAGACCAGATCCTGAAATTCCCCAGGCTTTGCCCGTTGAGGAAGGCCATGCTGACTCCTCAGAGAGCTCTGCTGGAGTTGCAGGTGCCCCATCGGAAGAGGACCCCCAGAAGCCTGACCGTGAGTCCAAATGGCTAGGGCCCTCCTTTCCGTATGGGTAGGAGGCTGCACCAAACGCAGGGTGACCACTGAGACCTCTCGGGGTGAGTCTCAACACACACACACACACACACTCACACACACACACACACACACACTCACTCACACACACTCACACACACACACACACACACACTCACTCACACACACTCACACACACACACACACACACACTCACTCACACACACTCACACACACACACACACACACACTCACTCACACACACTCACACACACACACACACACACACTCACTCACACACACTCACACACACACACACACACACACTCTCACACACACTCACACACACACACACACACACACACACACACACACACACTCTCTCACACACCTTTGGTGCCTATTCTGCTGCTTCTGGCACTGTACTTTTAGTAGAGTCTAACAGGAGGGGGGCAGGGGTACCAGAAAGGCTGCTGGCGAGCGCTCCTGCCTCCATGTCAATGGGAACACACCTTTGCTGTCCATCTCTTCAAATGTATTTAAAAATAAATGTGAGAGGGGCCGGGCTGTGGCTCAGCTGGCAGAGTGCGTGCCTGGCACACACACACCTGGCATTAGATCCCCAGCAGCACATAAATGGGGTATGGCGTTGCACACCTGTAATCCTAGCACTGGGGAGGTGGAGGCAGGAAGGTTACAAGTTCAAGCCTACAGAGCAGTAGTGGTGCATGCCTTTAATCCCAGCACTCAGGAGATTTGAGGCCAGCCTGGTCTACAAAGCAAGTTCCAGGACAGCCAGGGATACACAGAGAAACCCAGTCTCCACAAACAAAACAAAACACAACAAAAAGTTCAAGGTCATCTGTTTCATAATGAATGTAGGAGGCCAACTTAAGCTACATGATCCCACTCACTTATCATTTATCTGTCTGTCTGTCTGTATCATCTATCAATCATCTACCTATCAATCATCTACTCAATTACCTATCTAATCTATCTTATCTATTGGTGTCTCGTACCTACCACCTATCTATCGAGTAGGGACTGGTAGTATAGTTAGGCAGGGACTTTGCTTAGTGTGTAAGAGGCCTTGGGCTTAAATAAATAAAACAGATACATGGAAAAATGGAAAGAACCATCCAGTAGCCACAGCCAGTAGCTGTCAGACTGCTTTGAAGAATTTTCTCTCTGAACCCAGGGCATAGGAAGACATTTCAGCTTTATGGACTTAAACAGCAGTATATCCAGCCTCACACAGGCTCAGGACACCTTCACGGCTCCTAACCAATCCTAACATACCCCCTTCATCCACTTCTCTAAAAAGCCAGGCCACGAAAGAGATAGAAAGGAATTTCTGTGGCCAGTTTGTAAGGTATTCATTTCATGGTTGTCTCGATGCAGGCTGTGTCAGGGAACTGGAAGCCATTTCTGCAGATCCCCTGGGAATTGCATAGGCTGGCAGACTTGGTGGTCAGCCTTGGGAAATGTTTCTAAGTCCCGGTCCTTTTTGATGTCTGGACAGCCTCCGAGAGAGACAGGGTGGAGATTCTGACTCATGCTTCACAGGGGCAGCTCTAAAGACCCAGAGAGGGTAAAGATACTTTATGTAGCCACCACCAACCTCAACGCCGATGCTCACAGATCTTGGAAGGCCAATTAGCAGGGCAGGCTGGATTCCTGGACATCTGGCCTTAAATCCCTGCATAAAATGTCATGCTTTGGGCTGTTCCACCAAGGCTGATGACCTGAGTTCGATTCCTGGGACCCACATAATAGAAGGAGAGCACAGACTTCCAAAGGGTGTCCTGTGACCTCCACCCATGTCCTTAATAAATAAAATTTAAAAGTTAATTCTAGAACACTTAAGTCATACTTTGGCTCAAAACCCAAAAATGTTTCCCTGTGACTCCTCTGCCAGTTCTCACTCAAGACAGCCCTCGGTGGGTAGTGCATGGGTGGTGGGGGTTGCTTTTCCCTTCGCCACCCTCTAAGGAGCTGCTGTGGATCCGGAGGGAACCAGCCAGGCTGGCCACATTAGGAGCAGATCCGAATACTGTCGGTGTTCTTAGGAGCGGTGGTCCCGTGTTCTCTTGCAGAGGATGAAGTCATCTGGAAGATTGTGGAATTACTCAAGAAAGCCGGAGACCATTTGGAGGAAGAGGTGAGGCGCTGGCATCAGAGAACACCTGCAGGGCGGCTGCACTCCGGGTTCGTGTCCCGCCCGTCCTTCCTCCCCAGTTAGCCCCACTAACTGATCCCTCCCACTCCGGGCTGTGCCTGTCTGGGGCTCAGGGACCTGACTGTGTTCTCTCTCCTCCCCACAGCAAGTCCCTCAGCCGGAAGTCGTGCCCCCAAACCCACTGCCGCCCCCCAGGAAGAAATCTCAGGAGAGGAAGGCCAGCCTGAAGAGAGCCTTGTCCCTCAAGAAGCCTGCCTCGGAGGAACCCAAGAGAGGGGGTGCAGCCACTGCCGTTGGTCCAGAAACACGGCCCAAGAGGCCCGGCTACCTACCCCTGTGTATTAGCGGCCAGCGAGCTTCCACCTCCAGCAACCGTGGTGAGCAGGCTCTGGCAGTTGCCACAGCAACTGCAGCTTCTCTCCAGCTCGGGAATCTTCCCAGGGCTGGGATTGGCCAGCTTTGTTCTGATGTCCACAGTAGGCCTTGAGCAGTGTGGAGGGGGTTAGGGATGGAGAAGGGTCGGAAGCTGGTCACCTCCGCACCGCCTCACTTGGGTGCAGGCAGCACACCTGAGCCCATGATGCTTCTGTGTGCAGGGTCCTTGCCGGCTCCCGACAGAACCGGAGACAGGGGCCCTGGGTCCCAGCTACATTTTTTTCCCTCTCTTAATGTGTGTGGATGTTTTGCCTACATGTATGTCTGGGTACCATGCACACGTCTGGTGTGTGTGGCTCCCAGGGGTGAGAATCAGATCCCCTGGAGCTGGAGTTACAGGTGCTTGTGAGCTACTCTGTGAGTGCTGGGAATCAAGCCCTCAACCTCTGCAAAGAGCCCCGTTGCTCTTAACCCCTGAGAACTCTTCGCACACACCCCTATTTTGCTGTTATTTTGGCTTTTGGTGTGTTGTTTCTTTTTTTGCTGTTGTTTGTTTTTTATTTTGTTTGTTCGTTTGAGACAGTGTCTCAAGTAGCCCAGGCTGGTCTCAAGCTCCCTTATGTAGCCAAAAATGTCCTTGAACATTCCAAATGGTAGAGTTATTGGCTTGTACACCACCACCCGGGGTTCTGTGGTACTAGGAATTGAACCCAGGGCCTTGTGCCTGCCAGGCAAACAGTTTACCAGCTAGGTGCCCCAAGCCCTCACGGTTTCACTCTCTCTGCCATGTCATCTCTGTCTCAGATTTCTCTGTATCTTGGTTTGTCTTAGGGGTGAGGAAGCTGGGTGCAGAGGCAAAGTGATGTGGTCATAGTCACTTGGCTCATCAAAGCTACAGCCAGAGTTACATTGGTTCTTCCTGGGCCTCGGGGTGGACGGGAGCCGGCCTCAGGGAACGTCATGGCCAAGGGAGTTTCTAGCTTACAGAGGAAGGATTTGGGGTCATAAGAGGATGGATTTTCATGCAGTTTTAGGCCATGGGCCTTCATTCATGCTATGGAACCAGACATCTTCTGTCCCCTAGTGGACCAACCCAATTGGTGGCTAGGTCGGGACCCCATGGGAAGGGGAAAGGGCAGAGAAGCAGAGGCAAAGCAGCTCTGGGGGCTGGAGAAGGCCTCCTCTGGCCCCCAACAGAGCCCCAGACCTGGCACAGTCCCGAAGCTCTCTGAACCCAACAGAGGCTGAGGGCAGGGTAAGCTGCCTGGGCTCAGAGCCAGCAGCTGCGTGTGGCTGACATGGCACACTTACCGCCCCTTTCTGCTTCGCAGACTCCGAGGAGCCCAGATCCCAGGAGGTCCCATCTGTGGACGGTGGATGCCCAAATTCCTCTGAGCTTCACACCCCAGCTGAATGTCAGGGACCAGTGGAGAGGCCACCGAGGGACAAAGCCTGGGAATCCCGTTAGTACCTGGCCACTCAGAGACCCCCCTCAAAGAACCTGTCTTTACTCTGCCATTTGAAGAAGGAGAAACTGAGGCAGGGAGAGGGAAGCCGAGGCCTGTTTCAACCTCCCTTTGGGAAGTTGCAGGCTACAGAGACAACATGGTCCCAGAACACACTTTATCCGCTAGCCTCAGTTTCCTCGTTTTGCAAGTGTGGTGCTTGCTGGAGGTCTTAACTAAACCAAGGCCCATAAAGCATGGGGCGTGGGGGGGGCGGGCGGGGGAAGGCAGGTGTGTCAGCCACTGTGGGCTGTATCACTGTTAGGCGGCCGGCTTGAGGACTGTGTGGGAGCACTGGAGATGGCTTGAGGACTGGGTGGGAGCACTGGAGATGAATATTGTTATCATTTCACTGTTGGCAGAGCTAGGCCTGGACTCAAAATATTTGTCAGGTCTATACATCTGGAGACATCTGGGGGGCGGGCGGAGCTGGGGAGATAGAAGGCAGTATGAGTGCCTCAGAAGCCCTAGGGCCGAAGTTTGCACTCCAGAACGTACACGAAAAGAGAAACAGCAGAAGGGCTAGGGGTTCAGACCTGGCCTTAGGAAGCAAGTGCTGGCCACAGCGCCTTGTGAGGAACCCTGTCTTTTCCCTAGGAGAATTCAGGCGGAAGATCCTGGCCCTACTCCAAAGCTCAGAGGAACAGAATGGGGAACAGGTGAGGGCCACTTCCCCCACTGTCCTGCTCTTCCGGGGACCGCACCCCTCCCACCCCTTCTCTTCATTCTAAGTCAGTACTGGCCTCCCCCAGACCAGATCCCCCAGCACCCAACGCCATGGCCCTCCTGCTGGGTTACACTGTCTAGGCCATGGGTCACCTTTGACCTGCTCAAGGTCAGGGCCCTACCTCAGTGTCTCTCTTCTTCCCCATAGCAAGTTCAAGTCCAGGAGGCAGAGGAGGCTGGAGAAAGCCCCGCACCCGCCTGCAAGGTGAAATCTCAAAGGAAGAAGTCCAACCTCCGGCGCGCCTTTTCCCTCAGGAAACACGGCTCCAAGGATTCCAAGAGACCAGAGGCTTCGGGGACCCTGGCTGCTGCCAGCCCAGAGGCCCGGCCACCCAAGAGGCACGGCTTCCTGCCCATGTGTGTCGGTGGCCACAGAGCTTCCATCTCCAGCGGTCCAGGTGAGCAGGCCTGGTGTTACCGTGGTAACACCAAGTCTTGATGGATGTGGCTGTCTGCTTCGGGAGGCGAAGGGGTCAGTTTTCAGCAGGACACCCACCGAAAAGCTCAGAGTTCTCTCTTCTTAAAAACGAAGGCGTTGCTAGATCTGTTGGACTATTGGAAGGGAGTGCACTAAGGCAGAGGACCACTGGCGCTCAGTGATCCCCTGGAGCTTAGGCAGTGCCTGCTGTGTATGCCACCAGCGCACAGTCCTACCTCAATTAACATGGGAGGTCTGTCTTATGGTCCCCTCTCCATAACAGGGGAAGGTGAAGTTCAGACTGACCGGGTTGAGCCTTGCACCTTTAAAGGGAGGCTGGTTTTGCTGGGTGGGAGCCATGAGCATGTTTTAAACTAGAGACTGTTTGGAAGCAGAGGGCAGAGAGGGAACACTGAGATCCCCTCAGATGTAGGGCGGGGCCGGGACCTCCCCGCGGACTGAGACAGAGGCCAAACTTTCTATTTTTCTACCACCCCATGCAGAAGACCTGGAGTTCCAGAAGCTGGAGGCTACAAGAGGGGAACCATCTGGGTCCCCAGAAGGGTCTTTCCAGGCCAGAAGCCACGACCCAGATGAGCAGCCTCTACCAGAGGGAGCCTGGGAATCTAGTCAGTACACCCTGCCCCAAAGGGATAGCTTCTGCCAGCTCCTCTTCTATACACTGCCCCAGGCTTAGTAGGGAATACTTTTAGGGGTGGACAGGGCAGCTGAACCCCGCCCCCCCCCAGACCGTATGGTGGGGACAGGGACCATGGGTGTGCTCTTCAAACTGGGGCTGCTGGGCTAGGGTCCAGATGAGGCTTTGGGGGCATTAGTCCATTTCACTGTTGTAAATGGTTCACCTTAGTCCTATTGGAGCTGCCAATAGTTTGTAATGACCTCTGTGAGTTTCCTGCATACTTTAGTGGACCTGACCCAAACCAGTACCAAGGGGCTGATAACCCAGCCAAGTGGACCCTCCTGTTGTAGCTGGCCACTCTGAGTGCAAGTCTCCCCATTCCTAACATTAGGAGCCCTCGGTTAGTGTCAGGTGGAAAGAACACTCAGTCTTTATTTGGATGGCTATGCTGCTGTGGCAGTGTGTCAGGGACACCGGGTGCCACTGAGGACAGCTTCTCATCTTTCCCTTCTTCCCTCAGAGGAATCCATCATCCATAAGTTGGTAGAAGGTCTCCAAGAGGTGGACAGCGACCTAGGGAGGCAGGTGAGTACCGCTCAAACTCTCCAGTTGGATACAGGGGTTCGCACACCCTCCTCTGAGACCTGAGTTCTAGCTAGCCCTCCTTCTGAGTGACGTTGGACATGTCCCTTAACCCCTCTGAGCCTCAGTTCCCTCTTTTGCAAAGTAGGGATAACCCCCAATTGACCAAACAGTGCCTATGCAGAGAAAGCTAACACAGGCAGGTGAGAAGAATGTCAGTTTAAAATAATAGGTGCAGGCAGGCTGGAGAGATGGCACAGCAGGTAAGAGAGCCTGAGAACCTGAGTTCAAATCCCCAGCACACATGTAAAACAGGCATAAGCCCAGGGTTGTATTGGGGGTGGGGTGGGGAGAGAGGAGGACAGGAAGATCCTGGGGCTCAATGGTGGCCAGCCTTCCTCCAGGGTCAGTGAGAGACCCTGTCTCAAGGGAATAAATAAGGTAGAGTTCTAAAGCAGGACATCTAATACCTCTGGCCTCTATGTGTACATGTACACTTGTGTACTTGTGTACACACACACACACACACACACACACACACACACAACACCAGAATGTTCAATGGCTCCCCAAACCAAATCCCCAGCACCCCAAGACCTTGAACCCTCCAACCCTTCAGATCCTGCTGCAAGGACACTTTGCTGTTGCAGCCATGCTGGTGAGCAGCATAGCCGGATCCAGTCCTTTCAAGCTCGTAGCTTATCTGTCCCGCACAGGCTCCTGTCCTTGAGAGACAGGCAGGTCCTAAGTGAGGGAGTGAAGGTGCCTCAGCTTTCCACCTCCCACCCCCAGCCCTGAACATCTGCATAAGACCACCCGTCCACCCAGAGCTCCTGCACCACGTGCCGTGGGGAAAATCAGCACTGTACCTTCCTGAGAACAGCCTCTGCCATGGCTGCCAGGAGTAAGAGTATGAAGACCACAGCCCTCCCCAAGATGCATCCACACACCCCACTGTCTGGACCACCTTGTCCCCAGGTCCTTACTCCCCATCATTATGCCAGGATCTCAAACCCCATGCGACCCAAGTCTTTGGGGCCACCCCAGGAGACCCCGCAGCTGCCATGTTCAGATATGAAGAGAAGGGAACTGACCAGCAGGACTTTAGAGTAGGGCTAAGAAGCCATTAATTGGAGGCTGGAGAAATGGCTGTGGTTAAGAGCACGGGCTGTTCTTCCAGAGGTCCTGAGTTCAATTCCCAGCAACCACATGGTGGCTCACAACCATCCGTAATGAGATCTGGTGCCCTCTTCTGGCCTGCAGGGATATATGAAGGTAGAATGTTGTATACACAATAAATAAATCTTTAACAACAACAAAAAGCCTATATTTCAAAAGCAATACTAAAATTGTTGAAAGGAAATAAAAATCACAAAAAGACAACACTACATTTAAAAAAAAAAAAGAAGCCATTAATTGTTCTGCATGAACTATCTCACTTCTACCCCTAACCATTTTGGAGAGGGGATCTGATCTTCTCCATTTCTATAGCCAAACAGAGGTCAGAGTGACATGTTCTGTGCAGAGCTTACATGTATGTGCATTCAGTTTTTGCTTTGCCTTGTAGCTGAGCCACACTTGTAGAAGTAAGAGTGGGTGGTGAAGGGGCTTAATGAAGGATGCTCACCGTGGATTCTAGGGGAAGGGGTGCTCACCACGGATACTAGGGGCAGGCTGGGGTGGGAGGGACCCTGCCTGCAGCACTGACAACATCCACTTTTGTTTCAGATCCGGAAGTACCCCAGCTTCAAAAAGTTTTTTAATGGGTTCTCAGATGCCTCCCTCAGAAAGCTGGTGGCCTCCTTAGACAGACAGAAGGCCCGCCTCTCAGAGGAAGACAGGAGCCCTGTCAACAGACCGCCACCATGTGCCTTTGGCTCACTTAAGTTTTCTGCCAACCACAGCTGTGCCATCTGCACCCTCATGCAGTCCAGAGGGCAATACAAGGGACACAGTTATGCCCACTTCCTGTCCAGCAAGGCCCAGCAGGTGAGAGCCGAAGGGAAGGGGCACAGGGGACAAGTGTTCTAGTGGGATCTCCTGACTTTTCTGATGTGCTCCATCAGACCTTAAAATTGTCTTTTAAAATGACATCTATTTGTTGTGTGAGTGCCATAGCGCATGTGTGGAGGTCAGAGGACAGCTTGTAGGAGTTGACTCTCTCCTACCACGTGGGTTCAGGCTTAGTGGCAAATGCCTTTACCTGTTGAGCCATCTTTCTGGCCCCTCAGTCAGAATTTAAACCACGACGACAGAATTAAGTGGTAGTCAAATGTCAAAGGACTGGCAGCCGAGACAGGTGGAGCCGGTGTTCCTGGAGGCCACCAGGAGGTGGCAGAGGCAGTTTGGAGACTGCAGCTGAGGTAGAAAGACTGGGGACAACTGTGCATGGGGCAGGGAGGCCTTGCTGTTTGCAGAATGGGACCTGCTGACTTGCTGTGGCTTCTCCCCCTCCCAGAACATCACGAGCCTGGCTGGCCAGAGTCCAGACTGAAGGCCAAATCTCATACCCAAGTTCTTTCGGACTAGTTCAGAGTCAGCGGCTTTGACCTAGAGGCCCCGAAGACACTGCAGAATGGCACGGTTCTAAGCTTCTCAAACCCGTCTGGAGAATGGACAACGATGCTCTGTGTAGTTGGCACTGTCTGAGAATGTTTTTCTTTCTGGAACTCGGACCCAGAAGCCATGTTAGGGGTGGGCACTGGGTTCGGGTAAGGAGAGCAGGCTCTAACCACTGAACCTGAGGAGAGGCCTCAACTCTGCATCTCTGCATCGCACCATCGTGAAGCAGGCCAACTGACACCAGCCAGAGCCAGCTTCCAATGAGTCTTAGCTAGGGGTGTGTGTGAGCCTGTGTGTGTCTTTGTTGGGGTTATGTAGGGTGTGGCTTTAGGTCAGAGGTCAACCTCAGATGGCCGATTCCAGTTCCATCTACCTTGTTTTCCTGAGATAGGATCTGTCACTGGCCTGGGACTGGCCTAGTAGGTTTGTGTAATGTTGAGAGCCTCAGGGACCCTTCTGTTTCTGCCTCTCCAGTGCTGACATCACAACCATGTGCCACCACACCCCACCATAAACGGGTTGTAATGACATGCTCCCATGACCTAGGGCATGCAGCCTTCATTCTGTCTTTCTGTATGTTGTGATGAGATGCTCCCATGACCTAGGACACACAGTCTTTGTCCTGTCCTGCATGTTGTGAACATGAATCAGTCTCCCAGCAGGTGGAGTGTCCTGAGACGGCTCCTCTTGTAGACAAAGTCTATTTGCACAACTATGAGATGTGGGTGCAAAAGGCCACCCAGCTGGCCAGTGACACAGGTGGGCAGCTTGACACACTCAGGTGATAGGGCCACTGACTCCCTGGGCTGTCAGCAGGAAGCTTTAATGCTGTGGGCATTAAAGCCTGGATGACAGACCGAATCTTGTGGGCATGTCAGTGTGGCTGTGGGCATTAAAGCCTGGATGACAGACCGAATCTTGTGGGCATGTCAGGTTCACAGCAAGTCGGGCTGGGAGACAGAGTGAGGGTTGGGAGGCCTGGGCTCCGGTGGGGCTGGCCTCAAGCCTGAGGCACCCTTGCAGGAAGTTTAAATAAAATCATCCAGTTGTTTTTTTTTTTTATTGTTTCAAGGTGTTTTTCTTGGCACTCAGTGACCTTTATAGATTTATTTTAGGCAGTATTCAGAGATGTCACTGATATGCAAGAGCTAAGTTTTGAAATGAGGGTCAGGAACCTTTAGTAAGTACGTAATTTATTTTTCTTTATTATTTTTATTCATCTCATACATAGTCCAGGCTGGCCTTGAACTTTTGGTAATTCTGCACTGCCTAACAATAGCTGGGATTACAGGTGTGTGCCACCACACTGAACTACACAGTTTCTTCTATTTATGTAAAGATTTTGTTTTTATTTTAAGTTATGTGTGTGTGGGTTTTTGCTGCACATGAGTGCAGTGACCACAGAGGTCAGAAGAGGGCACTGTATCTTGTTGAGTCACCTCTCCAAACCTTGGACATAGTTTCTTATCTTCTGGGAAGTAGAGTATTTGGTATGAGTTCCCAAGGCTGGCCTCCAAGTCTCATTTTTGTACTGTGTTGTTTGAGCCAATAAAGATGTTGACTTTCTCAGAGTGTGATCTGGGTCTTTTCAGGGAAGTTAGAGGACAACCCCCTTGCCCTATCCAGTGGAAACAAAATGGCTGCCCCCTGTCCCATCCAGGACAACAAGAGCCTGCTTGATTGGGGGGACAGCCTCACTATCCCTGTCCTGAGTTCTCTCTGGGTATTTCTCAGGTGGTCTATCTTGGGGTGACATCAAGCTGATACAGTAACAAAGGGGTCACAGGTGGGGTGATCAGAAGCCCCGGGCTACATATCTGCAATGTTGGGAGCAAGACATTGACTTCCTGACTGTCGCTACAATGCCACGGTGACAGGCAGGCACAGAGAGACTGGGCCAGACATCTTTCTCTTTTTTTAATAGTCTGCAAAGCTGAACATGACTGTGCAGAGGTAGAGCAAGGAGGCTATTCTCTGCCACGTGTCTGAATGAAAACACGAGGAGGACATGGCTGACAAGAAGGGTTATTGCAGAGTAAAGGAGAGACCAGCCTGAGGCATCGGAGAGTCCAGAGTGAACATGCCCAGTAGACTGAAGTGAGGCATGAGACTGGGGGCAGGGTCGAGAGAGGAAGAGAAGAGGGGGCTTCGGGTCAAGCTTGGGTGGAGCCACAGCATGGACCAAGAGGAACCAAAATGGCTGGGTTATGTAGGAATCAGAGAAGCTGGGGTGGGGGAATCAGGAAAGTGATGCTCAAGGCTTGGAGAGGGGCCATGGTGTTGGGAGCCAAAGATCTCAGGGCTTGGCATGAGATCCTAGGCCATGCTTGGCCGGCCACATAGTTAACCTTTACATAGCAGCTCCTTAGAACCTCAGCTCAAGAAAAGAAACAACTTGACCCAGTCCTCCACCCACAGGCTCAGTCACCTAGGCAACCCTTCCTGGACCTCTTACTCATGAACTCTTTACCCTGCCAAACATCCTCTTTGTGGCTTCCTAATATCCTGCCTAATATACTAACACCTGGTGCGCAAACAACCCATTCTACCCCTCCCCATATCCTGCTCTGCCGACTATATAAGCTAGCCTGAGAAAAACTAAGTCTGCCACTTGATCAGAATCCTGTCCTGTGGTCGTTCTTTCTGCGTCTCTTGTCCCCATTCCCTATCCCCAATTCTCTTGGCCCAGGTTGATGTCCTGCAGGTCGGGACACCATGGGATGGCTGCCAGGATGATTCTGTAACAAGTAATGTGAGTAGGGCCTAAGGGAAGCCTCCACTTTGATATGCTAAACAGGCACCTCAGTTAGCTATGGGGTGGGGGGTGGGGGGTGTTGGTTCTTTGAGACCCAACACTACCCAGTCTGAGCTCAGCTTGGGCTATGTAAGGCCTGGTCTACAAACAAAATTCAGCCCCTGAGTAGGCTGATAAAGGAAGGAATGGCCAAGTGTGCTGGCGCACACCTTTAACCCCAGCACTCGGGAGGCAGAGGCAGGAGGATCTCTGTGAGTTGGAGGCCAGCCTGGGTTACAGAGTGAGTTCCAGGACAGGATCCAAAGCTACACAGAGAAACCCTGTCTCAAAAACCAAAAAACAAAGCAAACAACAAAAAAGAAAACAAATGAAAGAAGGATTAAAAGGAACTAATTAAAGTCACCGGAATTAGCAAGTGAAAATACAGGCTGCCTAGCAAATTTGAATTTAAAGGAGAACCCCCAAGTTCCAGCCTCAGTGTTCTCTCAGGGTTCAGGCCAGAGGCAAGACAGCAAGTGGGTAGGGCTGCCTGAAAGGATTTCATGGTCCTTTATTCAAAAAAAAGTTGTTTCCCCAAAGTTCTCTCTTCAAAACTTCTCTCAGATTCCACAAGGTTTCCAGTTTATATACCCATACAGACACAATTAGCAATTCTCTTGAGCCCCTGCTCCTTTAGATTGGAGTCACCACCTCCCTCTCTGGCCTGTCAAAAGTCCATTTTGTTCCCAGAAACCACTATTAAGTTTAGGCTCCTCCAAGGTCCCCTTGCCTCAGGGGCCCCCTTTCTGTGCTTACATTTATCCCGGTCCTCAGTGGCCAAGTCAAGCTTGTATTGAGTATCAGCCTTGGCTCTAGGTTTTGCATTTGAGTATTTGTTAAGCAAATGCTGCTGGAGCCTGAGGGCAGCCTGGGCCTCCTTGCTGGGGTGGTTTCTTTTCTAGGGAACCTTGGGCACATCTGCTGGACAGGCTGGGAGTGTTGAGGCTTATAGCGAGACCCATGTCCTCCAAATCCTAGCCAGAGAGACTCCACCTTGCTGCAAGCTGCAGGACAGTCTTTCTTCACAGCAGACTTCAGCAAACCTACAGTGTTTGCAGAGACCAAGAGACTCTGAGAAGGGCAAGTGTGGGGTGCAGGCAAGCATGGACCCCCAACCTGCCCAGTCTGGTGCATCCGTGCTTCATATCAACTGAGCCTGGGGGCCTCTGGACCGCTCAACCAGAGGTAGTGCTTGTTAGGTCTCAAACCAAGACAAAGGGCTGAGATGTCCACTAACAAAGCAGACCTGGCCACCGGGATCTCCTAGCACCCCTCAGTCCCTGCAGGGTCCTCCTGGCTGGCACACCCCACCCCCTACCCTGAACGCTCCAGCCCAGGGGCTGGGCTGCCCTTCCCTTTATAATCCAGCCATTTGGGCTGCCTGGTCTTTTTACCCTTTTACCTTTTGGCCTCCTTGCCTCCTAGCCTCTTGGCTCCTGGCTGCCCCCTCTCCCCTCCCTCACATCCTCTCATGGCTTGGATTGAGGTCATGTTCATTCTGGACTCTTCCAGATGCCTCTGGCTGTTCTCTGTGTATCTACTATAAACGCTCTTCTCTACCACAGCTAGGATTCTATCTTCCTTTTTATTTTTCTTTCATTCCAGTGTTCTCACGGTCTGCATCAATTCTGCTGGAAACTCAAAGTGTGAGGGCTAAAGTTATGTTTTAAGTTTAAATTACCATGCTTAATTGGTCTATAAAACAAAAATACCTCTAACCTGTAAGTCCCACTTGCCCAAGGACAGATGACTTCCTGAAATGCTGGGTGCTGTTGTTCATGTAAGATAACAAGCCATGTGTTTTCACTTCTGTAAACAAGCTTGGTTGCCCAAACTGCACAGGACGTGCTTGGTCACACATAGGTGAGAGGTACTTAGGCAGGAAGTATGTCATGATACATGCTTGCCCTGATTGGATGAAGGTGGGAAGCACATAACCTTGTGGGTTTTGCCTCTATCAGCCCTGGTCTAAGGTAATTCATGGCCATTCTCTGGGAATCCCAGATATGGACCTTGCCAGTGTCCATCAGTGTGGCCTGTTTTTAATAAAGCTTGCTTCAAGTTCAGTTCAGTTGTGGCAGTGGTCTCATTCTTGCCTGGTGGGAATGATGAGATCCAGACACAACAGAAGCTTGGCTGGTGCCCTCAAGAAGGCAGCTTCCCCTTTCTCAACTCATCTCTACCCCTCAGGAAGAACTTGTGCGCTTAAGCCATTTGGGGGCTGCTGTCCCATGACAGCTTGAGAGCAGATGTTTAATTTTACATGTCCCCCAAAGTATCACCCAACGAGGCTGAAGACATCTTCCTTTTGAATTACTGTCATAGCAGCATGAACGACACTTTGCCCTCACTGGGGCTGGGAGAAGGGACATTTGGTCCTTGACATCTTCCACTACTACCCCCAAGACTGGGAAAGCCCACGGCTGCTGGTCTGCATGGCTGAGCCATAGAACTCCAGGGATGAGGGAACTGAAAAAGCCCTGAGGCCCAGAAGGCTGGTCAGGTCCTCCCCTTTGGAGATCCCAGGAAACAGCTTCAAGGGGTTCCAGTGATTATAAAAGGAGACTTTGGTGGGCAGAAGACTCTTCAGACAAGGAAACACACACTGGGGAAGCAGACCTTCTGCACTGCTGGATGGCTGAGGGCATCCCCTGGTCCCGACTGGCAGCCTTGGGTGGGAGGCTGGACCCTGGAGGTCACTGGGGTCTCTCCTGCTTCAGCCTAGGAGTTCTGTACACCCACTCCCTAAGAAAGGACAAAGAGTTGTCATTTTGAGTGCCCCCACTTAGGGACATCCTGAAGTTAGTTCCACCGAGACCTCTTTCCAGCGTTCCCTCTGTTGCACTTGACCAAAACCAGGGATCTAGGATTGTCCCAAAGGCCAGTTTAGGGGTTCACTTTATTATCCCAGACCCCTTAGCTGCTCTGCAAAGGGGATTCCCCAGGAGGAAGTGATTTAAAAAGGTGTTTGAAATACTATTCAGTCTATAAAAGGTTAGTTGATACTTGGTTTTCAGAGAGGTGGGGGTGGTCTCCAGGCTGCTCGGTTCAGCTGTGTGGTTAGTGTACTATGCCTGTACAGATGCAGGTAGGTCACAGACATACGGGTACAATCTGGAGGTTATCTGTGCACTTATCTTCAACTCTCTTCTTTTTATTTGTTTTGTTTTGAGACAGGATCTTTATTTAATTTATGTATTTATTTATTTATTTATGTATACAGTGTTCTGCGTGCATGTGTGCCTGCAGGCCAGAAGAGGGCACCAGTTCTTATTACAGATGGTTGTGAGCCACCATGTAGTTGCTGGGAATTGAACTCAGGACCTCTGGAAGAGCTCTTAACCTCTGAGCCATCTCTCCAGCCCCTTGAGACAGGATCTTGCTGTGTAGCCCTGGCTGTCTTGCAACTTGACATGCAGACCAGGCTGCCCTTGGAGCCACAGGAACCCACCTGCCTCTGCTTCCTGAGTGCTGGGATTAGAGGTGTGCGCCACCACCTCCCCCAGTATCCCAGCTCCCGCTCCACCCACCCCTGCCCTGGCCTGTCTCTCTCTGAGTCTCTTTTTCTCTCCTCTTTTTTGTTTGTTTGTTTTTGAGACAGGTTCTCACTCTGTAGACCAGGCTGGCCTTGAACTCACAGAGACCCAACCTGCTTCTGCCTCCCGAGTGCTGCGATTAAACGTGTGCACCACACCTGGCTCCCAGACATCCTCTGATTACGCAATAGACTGGAGCTGACTATGGATGTGCCGGGAAGGGAGGGAAGAACGAAATGAAGCTAGAGCACATGCTCAGACTGGATGCCATCTGGGCCAGGAGAGGCAGGGTCACCGCTGGGGACACCCACAGGGGTTCCATACCTCAGGGCAGCTGTATTCTTGGGTCCGGTTGGGATGAGGCTTGTAGGTGACCCAAACTGTCTTAGAAGTGGAGAGTACAGGGAAGTCGAGCGGGCAAGGAGCGGGCCTGGATTCCAGAAGCCAAGGACACATGTGAGGGGAAACAGGAGCAGTTAGCGCTCCAAGCCCCACTTTCACCTGCTGTGGACCCCGGGGTAGCCGCTTGCCCTCTCTGGGAAATGGCTGGGTGGCTGACTCCCGATGTCCTCCTCTCCTTGTTCTCTGGCACTTTTCTTCCTTGTTTCTCCTTCTATTAATACCTCTGCCTGCCAGCCCCGCCTGTCCTTCGTCCTGCCTGGCTATTGGCCTTTCAGCTCTTTATTAAACCATCAGGTGTTTTAGACAGGCAAAGAATCACAGCTTCACAGAGTTAAATAGATGCAGCATAAACAAAAGTCACACATCTGAAAATAATATTCTACCACACACACCCCTCTCTTGCAGGTCAGAAAATGGAGACTCAGAGAGCCCAGATGTCTTAACCATAAGCTCTGAGCTTGCCCAGAAGAGCAGGACTTTCCATCCATTAACCATGAGTGGCAGACACTTACTGCAGTTTGCTAGCTGGCTTCTTGGACCGAAGGTTTCTCTGGAAGCACTCTCTGGTCGCATTTGTCTTCTGTTTCTTCTTGAACATCTTGTTTGCCCTGTTTGAATCCACAGCAGGACAGTCCCTGGGCAAAGAACCAAGGAGGTGGTTGGTTATGGCCTGAACAGTGTCTGCCACCATCAGCATCCTGCCCCAGCCCAGGACACCCAGTGGTACTGGCTAAGGTTGGAGTTCCCCAGCAAACATTTCTGATTATTGTTAAATATTTATCTGGGCCATACCAGGCCAACCTTATACCTACTAAACGTAGATGCAAAGAGGTTAAAGTCACACAGAGTGATACTGTCAAAGGTTTTTAAAGGTTTTTTTTTTTTTTTTAATGTATGTGTGTCTGTATGGAAGTATGCATTCATGGAGACAAAAGAGGACATGAGATCCCCTGGAGTTGCAGCTCCAGGCTGCTGTGAGCTGCTCAGTGTGGGTGCTGGCACTGAACTTGGATCAGGTTCTCTGTAAGAACAGTTTTACCCTTAACCACTGAACCATCTCTGCAGCCACACCCTCCTCCCCCAACTATAGTTAAAATCATACGTAATGGGGGTTACATGTACATAAACTCGATGTGAAACAAAACGGAAATGTCTAAGGAAGAGTGCCCAAGAGCAAGACAGCACACACCTATAGTCTCAGAACTCAGAATGCTGAGGCCGGGCTGCCAGCCCACTGTCTTTTATCCAATGACAGAATAAAAGAACACAAGGTTTCAACCCTGCTTTTCCAAAAGAAAGATGAAAGGGCAGGTGGGTGCCTTTCACTGGTCAATCCAACTGTTACCCAATCAGCAAGGGAGCCTGGGAAATGTAGTTCCCAGGGATCTTTAAGAACTACAGATCTCGCCGGGCGTTGGTGGCTCACACCTTTAATCCCAGCACTCAGGAAGCAGAGGCAGGCGGATCTCTGTGAGTTTGAGGCCAGCCTGGTCTACAAGAGCTAGTTCCAGGACAGCCTCCAAAGCCACAGAGAATCCCTGTCTCAAAAAGACAAAAAAAAAAAAAAAAAAAAAAAAAAAAAAAACTACAGATCTCCAGGCCTGTGGTGCCTGCAGAGATAATGGAGAGTGTGGGTTACACAACCCAGACAACTGAGGCATTCTCTCTTCCTGCGGTTCCTGCTGGTGTGGTAAACACCCTGACAAAGGCAACCTAAGGCAGGAAGGTTTTATTTGGCTACAATTCCAGGTTACCGTCTATCACTGAGAGGAAGTGAAGAGGGCCTGAAGGTGAAACAGCTGGTCTCCTGGCACCCATGGTGGAGAGCAGCAGGCAATGAATACAGGCTCGCCTGTGCTCAGCCCTTTACATTCACTTCACGGTCACAGTGCTGGGTTAAAGCCGTGCACCACCATGCCAACTTCAAAAGAGATCTGAGAGTTCACCACACCACCAGGGCCTACCACAGGTTGGGACGATGTTCCTGTTAGGGCCTTTCCAACTGTGGCTTCACCCAAAATAAGACCCCGGACCAGGAGTGCACAGGCTCCCATTGCCCTAGAACAGGGTGCACCCGGTGTGTGCAGGAGGGCACAGAGGGATAGCGTCACTCCCATAACAGGCGTGTTCCACATAGCGCCTCACTTCGGGAAAGAAGAGGGCGCCAAGGGTGAACCGCTGCCCTGGACTAGACGAGCTGGGTAGTGTCCAGGCAGCCAGAAGGGCTGAAACATCTCTTAGCTGGGGCCTCCCCTGAGCAAAGGCAGGAACATGCCCTGAGGGAGGAGACACTTACACCAGAGGCTTGTGGGGGGCTGGCTTCCTGGTGTCCGGTGCTGCCCAGCTTGTCAGCTGTGAAGAGGCTGGAGGCCCTGCAGCCAGAGTGAGCACACAGGTGTGACGAGGGTGGCAGGCAGGGGGCACTGGGCCATTTTACAAATAACAAATAAGAGCAAAGATGCCAGACAGCTGTGGCACCGCACACCTTTAGTCCCAGCACTCGGGAGGCAAAGGCAGACCGATGTCTGTGAGTTTGAGGCCAGCCTGGTCTACAAAGCTACACAGAGACACCCAGACTCCAAAAGTCACCCCCTCCTCCAAAGATTTATTTTATTTTAGCCAGTCAGTGGTGGTACATGCCTTTAATCCAACCAACTGGTATTTCTGAGTTCCATATAGCGAACTGCTAGCCTGAGGGCCAGAGCAGGAAGTCATACCTGTGGGCTGCTCCGGGCCCAGCTCCTCCACAGGTGACAGGGCAGGTGGTGTGGAAGGGCTTGAGGGCAGAAGTCCGGGGTCTGTCCTGGCTGCTGTGGCTGCCTGAGTGTGTCCCGAGTGATGAAGGGATTCGGGGGATGACACGGGCACTGAGGATCCAGCCTCCGAGCTGTGTGTGTCTGTAGAGGACAGCCAGGTGTGCAACACGGGTGGCAAGCTATTTGTGCCAGGGTCGTCGTCAGCACCCAGGTCCAGTTGACTGCCGTCCTTCACTCCTTGCTCGGGGTTTGCAGTTTGAAGATTTATTGGGCAAATGTCACTGGGGTCAGTGGCCAGCTCGGGCCTCACTACTGGGCCCAGCTGGGACATGGCCGATGGTGATGCTGATGACTGCTCAGATGACGAGCCCGGTGGTGACCCCACAACCCCCTTACCCCTGGATTCAGGTGTCTGCACTGGTGGGGAAGCTGGGGACGGGCTGTCCTTTCTGTCCTCTTTGGGGGCCTCCTGTTCATGGGGTCGTGAGGAATCTTCATGGTGGCCCCACAGAGCTGGGGGCTCATGGCCAAGGGCAACCTCAATCTGGCAGTATACTTCCACCCTCGGGAAAATCACTCTCTTGCTCGGAGAGTCAAGGTACGCAGCATCTAGGAGAAACCACAACACATCAGATTTGTTGCGCTCATAGCCTATTATAAGGGTGTGTGCAAAATGTACATAGACACGATACATGGCCAGCCGTGGTGGCACACGGTGCTGTCCCAGCACTGGAGAGCTGAGGCAAGAAGACCGTAATGATAGAGAACAGATTAAGGGGGGTTTGGCCATCGGGAAGTGAGGGAAGGCAGGAATCATAAAAGGGCTCCAGGAAACTTTTCTTTTTGGGGACAAGGTGTCATGTAGCCCAGGCTGGTCTAGCCTCAAACTTATTACATACCAAGGATGACCCTGAACTTCTGAGCCCTCTGCTCCTATCTCCCCAGTTCTGGGATTACCTCATGTGCCACACTGCCAGGGCTATGAAGTACTGAAAATTAAACCTGGGTTTTTATGCTTGCTAGGCCAGCACTAACAGCCCCAGTCCCTGCCTCTCCAGAAAACCTTGGGGGTGAGCAATGGTGCGTGTGTAGGAAGACCTTGTCTGAGGCAGTGGGGGGGGGGGGGGGGGGGGGGGGCGTGCTGGCCACAGCTGGGTGCGGGCTGGCATCCTCCAGCTCCTGCCTCTTCCTGTCAGGGAGCTGCAGGAGTATCTGGGTGGATGAGAGCTTTGGCAAGGGAGGGAGGAGAGAAAGGGGTGGGGTCCAGGTGGCACCATTCTGCCTGTGACGACTGCTTCTCCCCACCCCCGCAACAAAGCAGAGAACAATCTGGGTTCTTCCTAGTGGCGGGTGGGGCCTCATAGTATGGCTCTGGGTACCAGCAGGAATTTCGCGGGAGCTCCTGGTCATATCCGGTACCAGTAGAAAAATCCAAGAGACCTTGCGTGAGGAAGGGACTCGTGCGTGTGCGCTGGCGCCACCTGGCGGAGGATTCGCACATCACAAGGCTTCCTTTGCAAGAGGGGACAGGCACCTTCGCAGGTAGATAGGTGCAGAGGGGTGTGAGGAAACGGAGTCGCCTCCAAAATCTAAGTATCAAATCGTAGGATCTTCCCGACCTCAAGTCCCTGAAAAACACCAGCACCCAGGAGAGAGTGGAGGGCGCCCAGCTGGTGGCCAAAGGTTCCAGGCTCTGGGGGAAACAGGGGTGCAAGTCTCTCTGTCTCTGTCTGTCTCTCCCTCTCCCTCTTCTTCCTCCCTCCCTCCCATCATTCTGTTTTCTCAAGTCCCTGGATGCCTGGATGACAAAGTAAGGAAAGAGGATAAGGGCGCTGTAGAAGGCAGGAAGCAAATCTGAAGAATGTGTTTCTAGTACATTCTAGTATATATTATAGAAAATATCGTTCAACCCTTAGTTTCACCCCCAAATATTTCTTTTTCCAAGACTTTTTTTTTTGAGACAGGGTTTATCTGTGCAGCCCGACAGGTTCTCACTCTGTAGACCAGGCTGGCCTCAAACTCACAGAGATCCACCTGCCTCTGCTGGGATTAAAGGCGTGTGGCCCAAGGCAAGTCACAGAGATGTATAGCCTTGTCAGAATAAGGAACACTTGGAACTCAAAGGCATGAAGCCAAGTGTTCCATGATACTGGGATTATTTATTTATTTATTATTTGGTTTTTCTTTTTTGTTTTTTTAAAGATTTTTTATGTATACAACATTCTGCTTCCATGTATATCTGCACACCAGAAGAGGGCACCAGGTCTCATAACAGATGGTTGTGAGCCACCATGTGGTTGCTGGGATTGAACTCAGGACCCCTGGAAGAGTAGTCAGTGCTCTAAACCTCTGAACCATCTCTCCAGCCCCTTTATTAGGTTTTTTTTGAGGCAGGGTTTCTCTGTGGCTTTGGAGCCTATCCTGGCACTCACTCTGTAGACCAGGCTGGCCTCGAACTCACAGAGATCCGTGGAGACTGTGATTTAAAAGAAAAAAAATCAGCCAGGCGTTGGTGGCACACGCCTTTAATCCCAGCACTTGGGAGGCAAAGGCAGGCAGATCTCTGTGAGTTCGAGGCCAGCCTGGTCTTCAGAGTGAGTGCCATGATAGGCTCCAAAGCTACACAGAGAAACCCTGTCTCGAAAAACCAAAAAACAAAACAAAAACAAACAAACAAAAATTATACAGCTAGTCCAAAGATCACACGGAGAAAGGCTGGGCCAGCGTTAGGTAAGCGCCCTTGGCCCTGGACTCCCTCCATATGAAACTGCACCCTAAGGAGTTAACCCTGAGTACAGACAGGTCTTTAGTCTCTTTCCCCAATGATGCTTGCCACACCATGGCCTTTGAGCGTTTAGTCTCTGTACTTACTCTATTCATCCGATAAGGACTAGAGGAGTCCAGACCATTGAAGGACAGTGGTTCTTCTTTTTGATTGGCTGATCAGTATGTCACTCAAATGTAACTAGTCACATCTACTTGACCCAGGGTGCTGAGCAGCCCAGGCTGGCCTGGAAGAAGCTATACAGCCAAGGATGACCTTGAACTTCTGATCCTCCAGCCTTCTCCTGGGTGCCAGCATCAGCTCACAAACCTCCCCTGTCTTATGCAGTGCTGGGGATTGCACCCAGGGCTTTGGGTGTGCCAGGCAAACACTCCACCAACTGAGCTGCATTTCCAACCCTGGCTTTATTTTTAATTTCACAGATACGTGTTTTAGAAATATCCTAAACACTGTCTCATAGGTCAACTGGCAGCCACAGTGGCTTACCTTGGGCAGTGCAGGCTTCTGGGTCTCCTCCATCCCCACCCCTTGCCCTCCCTTCCACCCTCCCCTTCCTTGGGTTCCCGCTACTCACTCAGCCTCCGCAGGTATGAGACCGCATCATCATATCCCCGATAGTAGTAACCCTGCAGGATCTAGGTAGTGACAAAGGAAAATGAACGAGGCTGCAGCCACCAAGAGAGTCACTGCCCCACCATAGCCATGCTCTACATGCTGACACCAGCTCCCCAAGGCCTTGTCAGCAAGCCCTAGGCTGGACTTCCCACCTCTGACTGTAGGAAATGGTGGGGTAGGGCATTTCTGGGGACCCAGAGGCCACATATTGGGGGTCATAGGAAGGAGAGAGTTTGGGGTCTGGGTTCAAGTCCCAGCGCTATGTAGTTGCAATCCCTCACGGCCTTACTTTCTCCACCTGTCAAATGGGGATAGTGATGGTATCTTTGCAGAGGATGTTGGGAGGGGTCCGTGAGGGGTCCCTCCATAAAGCTCTTTCTGAGGAGGACTGAATTGGGAACATTTGGTCTTTGCTGACCCACAGACTGCCACAGGATTTTGTTTGTTTTGAGACAGGGTAGCATGTAGCTCAGGTTAGCCTCAAACTCCCTATATAGCTAAGGGTGACTTTAAACTCCTAATCCACCTACCTCCACCTCCCCAGGACTGGGATTACAGATGGGCACCACTGGGCTCTGTTTACACAGCACTGGGATCACACCCAGGGCTTCCAGCATGCTAGGCAAGCACTCTACCAACTGAGCCCTGTTTGCTTGTTTTTAGCAACCCTTTAAACACGGCAAAACCCTGGACCCTTTGAGTGGGGAGACACAAAACCAAGGGTTCCTTCTACTGTAGATCGCACCCTGACCCTCCTGTCCCTCACCACCAGGTCTGGGGGAAACAGCGCGTGTGTCATTCGGGTGATATTCTCCAAGGAGAACTGGAAGGAGAAGTTAAACATTCGGAAGTCATGGAAGATGGCGGGGCAATCTCGAGGACAGATATCTTGCTGGCTGCTGAAGGTGGAGATGGTGATGGAGTCTTTCCAGAAGGCACAGGGCTGCATGCTCGTGAAGCCACCGTCGATGTACCTCTGCAGGGAAGAGGACAGGAGCTCAGCCAGAGAGGACTTGGAGCAACTGGGGCCACGGGGTGGGTACCAGGGACACAAGACTGTTTAGGACCAGCCTTAAGGCTGAGGTCCCCAAGATAAATGGTGGGTGGTGTGGAGCAAGGTCCCTTGCTGTGTCTGCAGTGGCCTCGGGGATTCTAATCTAATGCTCTGACCCTGGGTTCTTCTCCCTCTGCTGTCCTGGTGGAGCTGGCCTCTGTGTGATGTCTATCCTCCTGAACTCAGGAGACCAGGCCTCTCCCACAGCCTCACAGTGCACCTATCTCCCGCCCCTTTCTTTTGGGGTGGGGGTGTGGCTCCTGTTGTTTTCCTCACCTGTGAGGAAGAGATGACCAGTACAGTAACCACTCACAGTCTCACTTTCCCCAGGAGCCTCTGTATCCCACGGGAGCCCGAAAAAGACTTGCTGACATAATATCTAGACCAGGGGCTGCATCCCCACTACTCAGTCTGCAGCCAGGAAACTGGTCACTCACTGGTCACCCTGAGGCCAGCCAGAGGTGCAGAGTCATGGCCTGCCCAGACTGCTGAAGCAGTGTCCCCACTATCTTAGAACCTCGGAGCTAACCATGGGCACATGGAAGCCTGTGGCCACTGGCCCAGAAGGCCCTGAGATTCTCCTCAATCAGGGTCTCAGGTCCCTGTGTTCTGGGGCCTATATTCTGCACACTGACTTCTGGGAGAACCTGGCAAGCCTTGGAACCGTGACTTGCTAGGTCCTCTACAAGGCAGGTGGGTCTAGAGAGGCCCCTGAACCAAGTAGAGGAGGCTCCCCTTAAAAGCCCAGGTGTCCATCTACATTAGGAATTCTGAGTAGAAAATGTCCCAGGGTCTCAGCTCATTCAGTCACTTACCTCACCCCGATATGTTGGGGGGATGAGGCCACAGTAGACAGGAACAAAGCAGCTGCAATACAGGGCCTGTGGAGAGACAGCGCTGAGATGCCACAGGCCCTGGAGTGGGTGGCAGAGACGCACAGGTGCCCCTGACCCCTGACCCCTACCAGTCCCCGGTTCCTTAAAGTAAGGGTATTGGTCTGGGAAACAGAGTCTATGTTCAGTTCCTATGCAATCCTCAGTAGGGTCCTTGGTGGTCTACTGGGTTAGTCGGACCCAATGTCCTAAAGAGGTGGTGGCCTTGACATATCCAGGGTCCTCTGCTGACCATCAGCCTTCCATGAACCCGAGGCTGTTCTGGACCAGGCCCTGGCCTCAAAGGAGGCTGAGCCGCCATCCTTGGGAGTGTGCATAGCAGAGGTGAAGGAGGTGGCCATGGCTGCTGAGGCCCCAGAGGAGACCAGGCAGGGTGGGATGAAGGGACGGGAGTCTGGTCAGGCAGGGGACACTGGGCTGGAAGTGAGATGGAATAGCTCACAGATGTGGCCTGGTTTGGGTGTGGTGGTCTGTGATGTCATGGTAGGAGTGGGGGTTAGGAGAGGCTGAGAGGGAGACTGCAGCCCCTCCAAGAGTGGAGAACTAGTCATCCAAGGGGCCTGCTGCTTGCTCACCCCAAACCCAGGCACAGGCAGGGAAGGGGAGGCTGGAGCTAGGCACAGGCAGGGGAGAGACGAGAGTGGAATAGCAGATGGAAAGTCTCATGAAGGAAAGCTGAGCGAAGCCAGGATCCTTTCAGTGGTCACGACTGGTCACTAAAATCTATATCTGAGAGCTCGGCCATGTCACAGTGGGGGTGAACTTTTCTAAGTGGGAAACTGTGGAGGGAAAATTCAACCATTTATTTATGTATTTTTTTTAATTTTCTTTTGAGGCAGGGTTTCTCTGTGTATCCCTGGCTGTCTGGAACTCACTCTGTAGACCAGGCTGGCCTCAAACTCACAGAGCTCCTCCTGCCTCTGCCTCCCGAGTGCTGGGATTAAAGGCATGCACTAAGGCAGCCTGGCTTTTTATTTTTAAAGATTTATTTTATGTGTAAGAATGTTTCACCAACATTTATATTTGGGTGCAACTTGCATGCCTGGTGCCTGTAGAGGTCAGAAGAGGGTGTCAGATCCCCTGGAAATGGAGTTACAGATGGTCGGGGGCCACCATGTGATTCTGGGAATTGAACCCAGGTCCTCTGGAAGGACAGCCAGTGCTCTTAACTGCTGAGCCATCTCTTCAGCCCCATTAAAACTTTTTAAAAATACTTATTTCATGCGGGGATGGCGCATACCTTTAATCCCAGCACTCGGGAGTCAGAGGCAGGTGGATCTCTGTGAGTTTGACAGCCTGGTCTACAGAGTTCCAGGACAGCCAAGGCTACACAGAGAAACCCTGTCTTAAAAACAAAACAAAACAAAATATTTGTTTGAAGTCTATCCTGTGTTTAAAATTGGATCTTTTCGGTTGTTCTAAGAATTAGACAGACTTTATTAAATTCAGTTTAAAATTGGTTCAAAGAAACTGTTTTAGCAGTGCAAGAATTTTACTACCTTTGTTTTATGTAATGTGACTTCTGTAACAGGCAAATAGAATATCCCACTTTCATTATTTGTTTCATAAAAGGATGATCATCTTGTTGTTGTTTTTAACCAACATCAATTTATAGCTTGATATAAAATTCCCAGGTATTGAGGGGATTCTGTTGGTGAAAATTCTGGGCAGGCATGTAAAATGTATGTGCTTTATTGACAAAGATCCTTTCAACTTAGGACTAGTGAAAGAAAAAAATCTTTATTTTTTCCAGAGCTGAAAAAAAAAATAAACGCACATTTAAGATCATATGTATTGGTGCATGTGAGCCATTATCCTGTCTTATTGAATGGATTAATGCTGTTGATTGTTGAAATGTGAAATGTAGTCACTGTTGAACTTGTAAATATCTGCCAGAGATGAAAAATATTTTAAGTTATTGTAAATAAAGATGTATAAAATTCAGTATCCGTCTGCAATGCAGAAATATAACATCTCAGATGTTAAATATTGTGTCTCTTGAGGGATTTGTCATTTCTCCCTTGATGTATCTAGCTACATTAATAATGTAAATTTTCTTTTGTACAGTATAAAAATACAGCTTTATTTGGATTTTAACTGGATTTCCCCGAGTTGATTTTATCTTACTTTAGTTTTATAATTTGCCACAGTTCTTTCATTGTATTTAAAATGCCATTTTACTTATGTGTTTCTGAATTTGTTTTGTTTTATTTGAGACAGGGTTTCACTGTGTAGCCCTGGCTGGCCTATAGGGGTCTCAGTGACGTCACCTCTTCACCCCACAGCTCACAATGACAACAGAAGCCCATGGGGACTCAGGAATGGTCCCGCCATTGTGGACAGGACAGGGGGGTCTCAGTGACGTCACCTCTTCACCCCACAGCTCACAATGACAACATCTGGGATCCAGAAGCCCATGGGGACTCAGGAATGGTCCCGCCATTGTGGACAGGACAGAGCCATGAAGGAGGAAGCCCCAGGCCCCA